TCAAGATCAGATGGCCGGTCAGAAAAGATCAGCAACAGGGATCTCTGATAATGAGCGAACCAACCCAGCAGGAACCGACTGTGCAACAAATATGCAGGAAGAAATGGAGGTGGATTGGCTGGCCATACTCTGAGAAATCAAACCATCAAGTGACATCACTAGACAAGCCATTGCTCGAGTGGAACCCGAAAGGGAAGCGGCGAGTTGGTCGTCAGTGCAAGGGTGACTTGGAGGAGGTCATGTGAAGAGGAGATGGAAGCATGTGGGCAGACTTGGAGCCAGGTGAAAACTTTAGCAGAGAACCGAACGCAATGGAGACGTACGGCTGAAGCCCTATGTTCCTCTAGGAATTAAAGGAAATAATAATAATAATAATAAGTTAAGGAACAAAGAAAGGGAATAAGTGAAAGAATTTCATTCGATGCGAGTGTGTAATTGTCGATAACTGATAACTGATATACAAGCATAAGTTTTATAGAATGTGTGTAGTGAATTTACACTGACAGATAGAATTTTAACACAGAACTTTGTATAAATGGGCAGAAGTTCAATTTACCATACACACTCTATGTAGCAGGGGAATAACTCAAAAGAAGCACATAACAAGTAGAAATATGTACGGCAGAAAGAACAGTAACATGAAGATTTAATAGATCTGGAAGAATACAAAGAGTGAATGCATGTGTGCCACCATTGAGAGACACTTTGAGACATATCACTAACAATCTCCGGTCATTTGGGTTCCTAGCATCCTAAAGACCTCACAAACAGGCAGTCTAACACCTACCTAAAGTGGCTAGTTCAAACCAACTATCTGAGACTTCGACCTAGTCGTCGAGGAAATGGATAGCCCGGCGTGTGCAACACGTATCCTAGCCATCTCGATCGATGTAACTTGGGGAACACATCGATTGACTCCCCTCCCTTGCTCAGTACTCTACACCTAACACCTCAATATTACTCACCACCATATTATACCACTTAACACGCGAATGTGCATACACTAACACGAAGAATTTGTTTCGCATACATAGCTAACATTGGAGTTAAACAATTCTGGAAAGTATAACAGCTTTCAGTATGCTCAACATACTCAAAAGGAGAAATGAAATAATATCAATTCAAGTTGTGAGTGTTGTTGACATTCAAATTTAGTGTTTGTCAAAAATGTAGAGATTCAGCTCACTGACTGAAGCACTTGGCTTGTAATCATTAGGTCCGTGGTGAGAATTTCATTGTTCCACCTACGTCAGCCAAGGTAGAAAGGGTAGAATAACATTAGCCCTCAGTCACTCATACACAATAAGTGTGGCTTATAGCCTTGTGTACATGAAGAATCCCTGTTTCTGGTAAATGAGTGAGAACAATAAACGAAACAAACACTATTGATAAAACCATTCACTGTCGAAGAGATATCAAACACGTTAAATGTCAAAGCGATAGAATAGAATAGAATATTAGATGGGTTAGAAATTAAACAATTCAATAAACACATTCTCAACGCTGTTATTTTGTTGAATATGGTAAAAAAAAAAAAAACGGTGGGATAAAAAAATTTTTCCTATTCTGACGAAGTCATCAACTAAGCTGTCTGTCTCTCTGTCTGGATTCAACATAGAACTTGGCACCGAAGTGCAGCAGTTCGAGTTGCCACGTTCCAAATAGCACACAAAGGTAGACAAGAAAATGAGTGAAGAGAATCAATAGAGTTTTGACAAGTATAAGAGTGAAACAGAATGAGTAATGGTAGAAAGGAATATGAAAGATTACAGAGACTGAATACATCTGCGTAAGCCATTGACAACGATTTTGAGCCATGTCACCTATTGTCTCCAGCCATTGATTCTTAGAGTCCCGAGGGCCCCAACCCGGAAGTCTGCATCTCCCTACCTGACTCAGTTTAACTGTCAAGGATTTCATGGATTGATGCCATGTTTTTGTTTGGCCACCACTTACTCTTTTCCAACCTGCACCTATATCAGCTAGTAATGCCCGTCGGGGGAGGCGATGGTTAGGCATGCGCAGCACGTGACCTAGCCATCTCAATCTATGTAACTTCATAGCCTCTTCGATTGATTTTCCCTCTTTGCCCAACACTCTACGCCTAACGTCAACATTACTTACCTTATTATACCACCTAACGTGAGAAAGAGATCGTAGACATCTATGATCAAAAACAGTCAACCTTTTCATGTCTTCAACTCGTATTGGCCATGTTTCAGAGCCATAGAGAAGGACGGAGCGAACTGCTGAGCAGTACACACGTCCCTTGGTTGATAGTCGGATGTCACGCCTACGCCAGAGATGGCGTAAGTTAGCGAAAGCAGCTCGAGCTTTTTGGATCTGTGCTGAGATTTCGTCACCAATCAGTCCGTTGGTGCTGATACAACTTCCCAAATAGGTGAAGTGGTCAACATGTTCTATCACTTCACTCCCTATCACTAAGCTAGGAGTTGACGTAGTCCAGTCCTGTAGCAGCATCTTACATTTTACAGGGGCGAATCGCATGCCAAACATACGAAGATTGCTGCTCAAGGTGTTCAGAAGACTCTGCATTTTATCAGCATCCTCCCCTAACAGGACTATGTTGTCTGCATATTCTAAGTCCATAAGACTATTCCCTGGTAACAAGTCGATTCCTAAGTCGTTAAGTTCAGTTAAGGATACTTCCATTAGCATATCTATGATGAAGTTAAACAGAAATGGGGAAAGTGGACATCCTTGACGGACACCACTGGTTGTTATCAATTCAGATGACAATTCCCCATAAGCCCTCACACAGCTACGTGAGTTTGAGTAGAGTGCCTTGATAAGTGCAATGTACTTTCTTGGCACTCCCTTCACAGTCAAACATTGCTATAGTACCTCTCGATCCACGGAGTCAAAGGCCTCCTTCAAGTCAAGAAATATGGCAATTGTTGGACGCCTAAAAGTGTGTCTATGTTCTAGGGTCTGTCGGAGAGTGAAGATATGATCTATGCACCCTCTATCTGGCCTAAAGCCCGCTTGATTTTCTCTCGTTTGTTCCTCCCGAGTTCGGCTTAGTCTGTGCATGATTACTGAGCCTAAGATTTTAGAAACTATGTTCGTCAGGCTGATTCCTCTATGATTATCACATGAGGACTTGTCTCCCTTCTTGAATATTGGTATAATAAGCGACTTACCCCAGTCTGATGGAACCGTCTCTGATTCCCAGACGTTACCTAGTACCTTAGTTAAACTATATACTAGTATGTCACCCCCATATTTAAACACCTCCGGAATAATTCCGTCGGGTCCTGCCGCTTTGCCTCGTTTCAAATTACAGATAGCTTTGGTGACCACACTTACAGACGGCGGGCCAGTGTCTATATCCCATTCGGGTGTGTGCTGGATGGCGGGGAGGTTCAGTGTGACTGTAGGCAAGTTAAACTGTTCCTCGAAGTGTTCTTTCCAGCGTTCGAGGCGTCTATCCTGAGAACTAATTAAGGAGCCATTTTTCTCACAAATAGTCTCACTTATGATTTGCCTTCTCCCACCCGCTTCCCTGATGACTCTAAAGTGTTGCCTATCGCCGATGCTTTTTCCATCTCTTTCGCCTTTGTCAACCACCACTGTTCACGGTCCTTGAGGAGACTTTTCGTAAGTTTCCTTTTGTGCAGCTTTCGCTGCCCACTGAATTCGGAGCTCGCCGGAATAAGTCTTCTAGCATCTATCAGTTCGGATGAGGCAGTCGAAATCCAATGGTTTTTACTAACCTTTGGATTTACCTTATTCACAGCTTTTACAGCTGTATCTATGGCTGACTGAATATTCTTCCAGGCTTCTTCAGGGTGAGCGCAGCTGTCGAACTCAGATATGTGTTTAGCTAGTTCTTCCTTAAATAGGGACTTAGTTTCCTGATCGAGCTGGGGACGTGATGGGTTTACCACTAGCTGTTTCCTACGTCCGTTCAGTCGTAAGCACACACGAGCGTGATCGGTATCTACACACGTGTTCCAGAAGGAGCGATAATCCCCTACCGACCCACGCCAACGATAGCTTATTGCTATGTGATCTATTTGTGTCCAGCGTTGGTTTGATGATGGGGGTCGCCAGGTCAAACAGTGTCTCTCCTTGTGTTTGAAGTTAGTGCTTACAAGAAACAAATGATTATCTGAACAGAACTGTAGGAGACGGTCACCGTTGTCGAGACAGACAGATGGGTTAGAAATTAAGCAATTCAATAAACACATTCTCAACGTTGTTATTCTGTTGAATATAGGAAAAACAAAAAGACCATTGTGGTGGAGAAAATTATTTCTATCTTGACGAAGTCATTAACTACTCTGTACATTCGTGAATGTACATAACATAGGAGTGAGAAATTTCAAGAACTATTTCCAATCAGAGGTTAAAATATAGCGAATGACGAAATAAAGTTGGGTATTATAAATTGGGATTAACAGCTTGGCTAGCAATGAGAGACGAACGGACGTGTATCGACGATAACAGTCAGGCGACAGACCACATTATGCACTTAGAACATTCAGCTTCTTTTGAAAAATCCTACAAGATCCGTTCGAACTAGATATAACTGATATATTAGCAATCCAAAATTTCAAGCTAACACTATGCATCCACAAAAGAAGTACGTTCAACTTTTGTCTTTTCCATGACCATCATTATTATCCAAATATGGTATTTTATCCAAACTTCCAGCTTATTTTTCTCTCATTGTTATGCTTTTAATCCCTATTTGAACTACTTAACTTCATCTTGTTATTCGTTATATTTTCACTTCTGACCAGAAATAGGAACCTGAAAGTCCTGGGGCTGGATCCCTCTGGCGGGGTTACATGTGCCCCAAATTAAGGTGAAACAACTATGTCTTCAGTACCGTTTACTTTTCGATGGTTGTCAAAAGTGATGTCAGAAAATGATCGAACACAATCTAACAATCAAAGCCATGCAAACCAACACTTGTGATAATTATACACGAGAAATATCGAAAAACATAAAATCAAGCATAAGCATCTTACCCTTTAAGATAACGATCAACATAGGTCATACGTGAAACTGGTGCCATTCCATGATCTGAGGTGATAATTAAATTCAAATTTGGCACAGATTCAACAATCTTCAATGCATGATCTACTACATTATCCAAGTAAATCCAATGTTTGTTAACTAATTCATCGGATAACGGACCATATCGATGTCCAATTCGATCCAGTTCATCGTAATAAACCACTGAAATTAACAAAAAAAAAAGTAAGTATCTATTCATATAGGCAAGCTAATTATACACAGTAGAGCATCCTAAATGAAGCACAAAAAACAAAAATACCTCTATGAGACAAATACAAACATGACTGATGAGTTGATTACCGATGAAGTTAAACTCAAACCGTAGAACCAAAACAACAAAGTACAAACATGTCCCACTTTTGGTTGCAGGATTTCATCGTGAGCTGACATCGGTTAGAGAACCATAGAAAACCTGGGAGTACTGGACAGCTATTTCGTCCTAGTTTGGGGCTCTTTATCAGTACGCACCCACCGCCAGGGTTCGAACCCAGGACCTTCTGGTTACAAGGCGAGCTCGTATACCATTAAACCACTGGGACCCAATCCAATGGCCCATGAATTCTAACTTCTGCCAATTCACGAACCCCTGTGGGTGCGTACTGATGAAGAGTCCAAAACTGGGACGAAACAGCTGTCCAGTACAGTACTCCCAGGTTTTCTAATGGTTCTCTAACCAATGTCAGCTCATGATGAAATTCTGTAACCAATCAACCAAATCCCTACAAACCAATACTTGAATATCCCACTTTTGTTTATTCAGTTATGCTAGTGAATTTGTGCTACTGCATACAGCAGTCTACAGTAATGCGTTTTCACCTGGAACGCAAAGAAACGGGTGGAAAAAAATTGGACTCCACTGGCTGAGATATATTTTGCTGCCTATTCTGAGATCGCTTTGCAACCACTGCAAACGTTTTTCCAGCCGGTTCCCTTTACAGTAATCACACCTAATTGACATCAGTTAGCTATAAACCAACTTATTTTTAAAAAGAATGGATACTGAACAAAGAGTACTCTTTTCGATAACTTCATCATCAGGCTCTACAGTTATATACACATTATGGTGAATGAATGAATTAGTGTTATGAACAACATTAATGTTGTTTAAATAACATCGAATCAATAATATAAATAGATTACAGTTCAATAGCATCAACATAAAATAAGCTGAATGTCAGAAAAATTAGGGAAGATAATATTACAAATTCATGAATTTACAGTCTCTACTGAAGGTCGACCAGGGCAGTAGTAGGGGCTGGACTTGCTTCTTCTGCACACGGAGCATGCGGTAACTCGATGCTTTCGGCAATTTATTTGATACCCGGTAGATGATAGAGAAGGATTCTTCAACGCTGGCTGGCTTTGTGGCCGGTTTGCACCAGATGGTCCAATATTGAACTGTTAATGGTTTCCACTACACCTTTACTTAGCCATAGTGGGAGATGTTCTCGAGCTGGTACGAAAAATCAAGTTCCTAGAGCAACGGCCAATATAACTCGCCCCACCACAAGCGCAGTTGAATTGGTAGATACAATTTGAAGTGGCTAGTCTAGGTACTTCATCTTTCAGTCGAGGTAGCACCATCGGTCGTGTAGAGAATAATACGTGTAGTTCGCCAGCATTAAAAGTTCTTTGAACTGATTTTCTTAATTTCTTCGTAATTATCTCACTTGGTATATCGCCCTTGAATTGCAGTCGTATATAAAGAGGCTTCTTGTTTACGGATAGTGAGTAGTCCTTTTCCGCTTTCTTTGTCATGTGTTTCTTGATAAATTTTTCGGGATAGCTATTTTCAATCAAAGTATCATATACAATGCTTAATTCATCTTCAATTACTTCTTCTGAGCATATAGCTCTAACTCTGTGTGGCTGAGGGTCTTCACTAAATTTCTTTTGTACTTGATAGGAACGAAGCTGTGAAAATGTGTGTATATTGTCCTGTCCAAGTACTTTTTCTATGCAAATTTCTTTTTATGCTACCATCTGGTTTTCTTGTAAGGAGGACATCCAGGAAGGCAATTCTGTCTTGGGATTCCTCTTCGCATGTGAATTTCATAGCCGAATGTACTTCATTGAATTCAGTAATTCAATTGTACTCCTATCCGAATCATTATCACAAAGAATGAAGGTGTCATCCATATACCGGCAATAAAATGAGAACTTTCTGTGATAAGGTTGTTCAAAGGTCCATTTTCTAGTTTACTTAGAAGAAGAAATCAGCCAAAATGGGATCCAATGGAGAGCCCATCGCCACCCCGTCCAATTTTTCTTATAATTATCAGTTATTCGATTAGAGATGAGTGTCTACTGAATCAGAAGTATTTTTTTAAAGGGTATTCCTTAAGTTGACTCACTTCAAAGTAAGCAAAAGCGAAAAAAGAGGAATTATTCAAATTACACTATTTATTCATTTCTCTTGATCCACCAGGGTAAGAGGTGCCCGAGTAGTTGTCCCACAGCATGACACTATATACAGTGCTAGTCTTGTAAAAGGCCAAGATGAGTATTCGGTTCCTTTGAAAACCGATGTATAAGCAGAAGTTGATAACTCAAACTCAACAAACACTTGTAATTCTATGCGGTTAGTTATGAACCACACTTAATATATATAAGGATTAGTGGTAGTGCATGACTGCTAAAACCTTGATAGGTAAAACGAAGTTCGAACCTATGACCTGTTATTTAGTAGTTGGAGGCCCAATATAAGGAACCATAAATGTCTACATGTCTACGATAAACACCAACTTTGTATGCTTTTATTCTAACTGTAATGAAAGTTAACAAACCACAGTTACATAGGTAGTTACTGTTTTTGTGACATGACAATTAACATTTAGAACTAAAGGTTAAATAAAAGTACATATAACCAGTATATAATTTTCATTGACCATGAAAGAAACAAAATAGGATGATCACGGATTGATATCAGTTAGAGAACCACTGAAAACCAGGGAGTACTGCCAGACAGCGCTGTTTCATCCTGGTTTGGGAATCATCGGCAGTACGCACCCACTGGGATTCGAACCCAGGACCTTCCAGTTACAAGGGAAGCTCGTAAACCATTCAGCCCTGTAACCGGAAGGTCCTGGGTTCGAATCCCAGTGGGTGCGTACTGCCGATGATTCCCAAACTAGGATGAAACAGCTGTCTGGCAGTACTCCCTGGTTTTCAATGGTTCTCTAACTGATATCAATCCGTGATCAACTCGTAAAACATAACTAACCCTTACAAACCAAACTATAGAAAATAGGATGAGATTTGATTGGTTTCACGTTTGGTCACGAATCGACATCTGTTACGTAACCATAACTAGTGACTAACTAACTACACGACTAAGGTGCCTGAAGTCATGACCAGTAGGGTCCATCAGCTCGGATATGAGTACAAATGACTGTCGATGATACTGGATATCATTGGCACTAAAAATCGCGAAATAAATGAAGTTAGAATTAAGGGACTCCAATGGATCCCTCCTTCTGAGTGGCTGAATGATCAGCGAATTCGCTTCCTAACCGAAGGTCTAACCGCTTCGATCTCCAGCGGGACCAGACTCGAACTCGTGTGGTTCTCGAGTAACATTCTGTTCCCCTCCCCCCTCCAATGTTTTATGAAGAATACGTTTAAGTTAAAACTATCTGCAAATCCCCCTTTTTGTATCCCACCTTTAGAAAACATTCTCTTAGTCAGTAAACATTACTGTATAACACTGTGAGACTTTATCAAAACAAATTTTACCCATAATTGGAATTCTCTTAGTCTGTTCGTAAACTAACGTCTATCTTTTCATGAATTTCTGAAATGAATTCAATAGAAGAAAGTATAAAATACGTGAATAAGTGACCACACCCATATTCGTTGGTTGGTTAAAGAGTGAAAGGGAGTTAGAAAAAAATACACAGTTGTTATCAATCCTACACACTTTAATTGTCCCATCTATTTCATCCCAATTCTTTTTGAAAACGTAAATGTTTTTTTCTCCTTCTCTTATTTTATTTATTTCCTTTTGTAAAAAATTTCCACTTTCTGTTTACATGTGTCTTGAGATGACAGTAATCGATACTACTACTCAACTGGCAAAGTTAAGCTGAGCATGAAAGATGTTTAATTTATTTTCGTAGTAGGCTAGAACTAAGCACATTATAATACTTATAAATATGAATATTTCGAAGAGATTTTACTGAAAGACTTTCCACATTATATTAAAGTAATAGGAAGATTTATGGTACACACCAGGATAACTAAACAAACTGGTTAGCACTCACGAGGTGTGCAACATAGATGGCACGGAAATAGCGACCAAGTCGGAAATTAAATATCTTGGCGTCATTCTATCTGCTGATGTTTCCTGGTCGTCTCATATCTTGATGATTTCTAAGAAAATATTCAGTCTTACCTTCTACATCAAGAAGTTAAGACATTCTGGAATAACCCAACCCTTACTCCTACGACTCGTTAATTCTTGCATCCTGCCTATTATTCTGTATTGTTTCCCCTTAGTTATTCCCGGGCTACTGAAGAAAGACTACAACATATTACGCAGGATGTTAAAGGTTGTCAGCAGGGTAAGCAACGTGCCACTTAACCAGCTTGTTAATATTCTGGTCGACAAGCAGGCACTTGGACTCATGTGAAAAATGGGCTAAATCCATTCTATCTAACTCACACCACCCTCTTCACTCACAACTTTCCCCTTGTATCTCATCAGGCAGGACCAGAAACTTATAAAGAAAACTATATGCTTGCACTAGCAAGTACCAAAACTCAACCATACCCTACTTAGCTCGTGTTCTGTGAGATAAAGAAAGCATTAGGCGTGACACCTATAATTCATTAAATAGTCAGTAGGACAACTGGACCTCGTCTTTCCAACTCATATCACTTACAGGTACAACGTTTTCTTTCTTTCTTTTCCTTTTCTCTCTCTCTCTTTCTTTTGCTATGAGCTGTTTTCTTTTTCTCTTCCTCACAAACTCTACTTAAAACATTCTTCTTCCTTCTTTCACACTGTATATCTCGAACATTTTGTTACCACTTACGCCATTAAATATGGTAGTATCTACTTTTCTAACACCTTCAAACACTCCGTTCACTCTTGGCTTTGCTGCCGATATGCTAAAATGTTGTTGTCAAAATTAACTGAGACTACCTATATCTATGTAGAA